CCTTGTGTCATTGAGTCTTGGCTACCCCATGTTTGCCCTCTGGCTAGTTGGGTTGCTGCCATGGATTCTGGCGATGCTTGGAGCTGAATGCATATCTGGCATATCCAAACATCGTTACAAGTTATAAGTTATAAACTTATAGATTCTTGATGAGCAGTTCAGAATTCTATTCCAATGACAGAGACGTTGGTTCTTCTGATTACTTTGCCATACTGTTTTAGCAACCCCAAAAACGACGTTTATGTTTGTTGTTTCATCAAATTTCTGAAGTGGTGGTAAATGAACTGTCTCTCTTTTGGTGGTTGCTTTTTTCATGTTTCTTTTGGCATTTTGGGGCCACAACGACCTGTCACATGATTTTCCCATTCCCAAGTGCAGGATCCGCACGATGCCATCGACGCGCCAAAGTTGCAGCGGTTGTACAGTGTGCCTTGGGCTTGTGCGGTAGGGTTTGGACGGTATGGTCAGAAGTTGATGGCCTTGCAAAACACACACCAGGTACTGCGTTGGTGAGATCAAGATGTATATAGGATGTTCATGGCTAGAATTGGCTATTGAATTTCACGAGGTTTTTGGGTCTTGGGTCCCAACTGATTTTTGCATATTGCTGTACCCTGAGGTACCATCGGCGCAAATAGCTGTGCATGTCAACGTACATATTTTTCAGGAACCATGGATTTATGGGGTTTTGATCAAATAATATGCATATATGGCAATGGTTTTGTTATGATGAACAGTGTTGAAGAGGTGTTCATGGCGGTGACCAAGTGCCTTCACAAGTACATGTCCACATTACCCATGATGTGGCGCGATGATCCCGCTGACATTTCGTTGTGAATGGCAAGTCGGACCAAGGAGGCTCAACACTTCAAAAAATATGGTACACATAAGACCAAAACAAGTAAGGCCTGGTAGCCTAAAGACTCAAGACTGCATGTTTATTTGCTTGAAAAGATGTTCATCATTTTAACAAACAAACGTGACACAAGAACACGCTAGAATCATCATTGCTATCATGATTCATCATCATCATCAGTTTCGCCATTGTCCGTCTCAGTTTTTCCGCCAATGGCGTCTTTCAACAGCCAGACGGACGACGGAGATGACGAATTCATCACCAGGGAGCTGCAAGAAGCACCTTCTGTCCTTGTTCCGTCAGTGGACGACGGGTCCGATGTTGATCTTGAGACAGGAGAGGTAAGGATTAATACAACCCGCGCACGAGCTTCTGGTGACACCGTGTCGCGCCCCGGCGGAGGATGGGCTTATTCAGTTGGCCGGTTATTGCAATCAGTTCTTTTCGCGCATTACCTGAGATGCGCTGGCGAGTTCGCCCGCGCAGTCATCTACGCAGTTGGCTTCGCACTTGGCGCACAGGCTGGGCCGGAGTCCGACGGACGGGGCAGCAATATAGCAGTTCATTGGTTCTTGGGCGTGGTGGTGACCCTGTCAAGTCAACATATTTTGTTTTTTCTTGCCAAGCCATCATTTGGAATGCCTAAGTGGACTTAGCGTCATCAAAGAATTTTGATTAAACACACGGATTTTATTTCAGTAGTGTGCTGCTGCTGCTGCTAGATCCATTTCGAACCATATATGCAAACAGCGCATGAGACCCGGCCAAAATCGCAGTTTTTTTGGGGAGCGATGGCCCCGTGCAAAGCAGAATCTTGTAAACATCCACTTTTCAGAAGAACCAAACCAACTTCTTAGCAAAGCGAATTCTCCGGATGCTCACAGGTCGCCCAAGAGGTCAAAGAGTCGTTGGCTGGCCCGAGAACTGTCCCATCAGCCAGCACGCTCTCAAGAAGTAGATTTTTGGATAATTGGATGCAATTCAGTATTTATGTTGTAGCCTGTGTGATCCCAGCGGTATGAAGGGTTCCAATCATTGGTTGATGTTTTGGTTGTAAAACCAACCAGCATCCTCTCTCCGCAACAGTGGCTGGAGCCGAGGCGGACCTGATGTTGATGCGATCTTATCAAGTGCGCTGGAAGGATGACTCCAAGATGTTGATCTATTTGGGTTCCTGGTTCGCAGGATGTTCGTGGTGTCGGTCAGGTGACGTCAAGCCATACCTTTGGCCCATTCAGTTTGTCATTCAACCATTATTTTCTCAGTTCATAATCGCGTTGTTTTGTCATTGTATCATTGTTTGTGTGGGGTTTAGCTCAAGGCTGCTAATGGCCGCCAAGTGTCAAGTGTTCCCACATGTCACGCCGGGAAGAATCATATTATATAGTATTGCTGGCAAATTCAAACAATTGTCGGAATTGGAATGGAATTGAATGGAATTTGCCACACGTATTATAAAGGGCGCAGGCGCAGTGATACTTGAATCTTTGAATATTGAGTTCAGCAAATTGATGGCAACAATTGTCAACTGTCAATTGTTACAGTACATTGTGCGTTCAGATTCAGGTGGAGATGCTTCGCCGCAGTCCGGATCAGAGTTTTTCATGCTGCTTGGATTTGTTGGCTACGGGAAGGTTGAGGGGGACTGTTGTCAGCTGAGAGGGTGGTTTCTCTGGCGGTATGTCTTGGTCGATAGACGCTAGGGACATGCACGTGAAATTACAATCCTTATTTGATGGAGTATCATCTCCTCAACCTGGCAGTTGACATGTTGTCAACCGACAGTTCTTGGTTGCTGGTTGCTGGTTTGGTTGGCAATGAGACAACCACTATTCAGTTCCATGCACATGGCTTCAGAGACGGTCGGCTCAAGTGGATCTGAACTTGGGTGCTCTGTCATATCAGGCACAACAGACCTGAATGATTAGATCCACTCTGAATCGGTTTGGGATGCTGCGTCGCTCCAATGCCTTGAGCGAAGAAGCTTTGCCCGCATCACTTGACCTTGATGGCGGTGATGATGATTGGATTGTGCCAGACGATGGTGGCCATGCTGGCCATGACCCCACTCATGCCGCTACGGCTGGTCGCCCAGCTGATGATGCTTCTCCAGTAGAACGTGCTGCTGATGATGCCGCGACTGTGGTGCCAGATCCATCCCCACCTCGCAGGGCCAGACGATCCAGGCCAGCTGCCAAGCCAATGAAAGTGCCCCCGAAAGCCAAGTGGCTGTCAGTCCCTGTCCCAGCCAAATATGGGGGGCCTGTGATCTATGTGTTCATGCCGTGCGCTTTGGCTGGGTCAGTGAAGGAGGGATTCAACGAGGACCTCAAGGCGGCCATTTTCGAATATGCAGATTCAGCGGCCAAGATCAAGCAGCCGGCATTCCAGTACATCAAGGCCAAGCTGCGAGTCTGTGGATGGGAAGTCGCACACCGCCGCCCAAAAGACATGACCAAGTCCACCAAGAAGCCACTGATAGTTGACCCTGATTTCTGAGTTCGATCCTGGGTCCTGCTTTTGTCAGGTACTCAAGCTTTTGGTGGTGTTTGCGTAGTGATAACCCTGCGCTTCACTCTCACTTACAGTCGCCCACTCCCAAAAAAACTGGCATCACAGAAACTGACATTGACATTACTTGAACATACTTAAGACAAACAATGACATACTTGTATGAAAAAACATTGATATTCTGAAACTGTTCTTTTTGAATCTGAGAGGGGGGTGAGTACAATCTGATCCTCACCCACTTGGAATTTTACACTAGGATGCGTGGTGGTCTGGCATTTGGAAAGCAAGGAATTAAATTTGAATTGCACCATCTCCAGCAAAATCAACTTGCTTCCAACCGGCCACTGGGCAAGAAACAGGTATTCATGTCCGCTGGGGGAGGTGGGGGCAGTGCTGGCAGTTGAGACTTGGAAAGATATCAGTCATGGTGACTGTCGCCATCATACAGTACAATCAACTCAAAATCGGCCAATACTTTCCCACACAATACCTCAAAACCAAGACCTCAAACTATGTGGATGCAGTGTTGCCGAATAAAACTCTGTGTGCGTGTTTTTCATTTGTTGGCATTTCATCCTCAGGGGGCTCAACGATATGTCAGCCTCCTCCTTCTAAGGATCTTGCAGGATGCAATCTCTTTCGAATCCGCGGAGGTTGCTTGCGCATCTTGGTCGTGGACATCAGCCTTCAGGCTTCTGATGGTTTCTGACTCCATGATTGTCAATCAGTGAGTGAGATGGGGCTCCCTTGAAGAAGACATGTGTGCCACGTCCAACCCCCCTATTCATGTTTAGTAAGAGGGTGGCACTAAAGAACCTCGCGTAAGCAAAGCCCTGGTGTGCGTAAGCCTTCATAAGCATCAGCATAAGCTATTCCCGCGCATAAGCTAAAACTGTGGGTGCGGTAACTGTTTAGTTTATATTGTTTTTTCATGAGCTAGCATTCACGGCTAGTTCATGAAAAAACAGCATAGCACAAACTAAACAGGTACTGACTATATATTGTTTGAGCATTGCGCATTCAGCTAAGTCCGGGCAAGATGCGGACAGCCCTATTTTCCTCGGGCTTGACACCCACCCAATGCCTCTCACCATTCTTGGAAGTGGGCGATCTGGGCTGGCCAACAAGTTTGGCTGTTTGGTGCATGCCTGTAAGCTGGAAATATCGGGGTCGGAATCCAGTCTGCAAGCAGTTGGATTTGGCCAGTGTGGATGCATTCGGGTTGAGTGGTAAACGCATTCGGGTTGAGTGGTAAACGCATTCGGGTTGAGTGGTTAAGCGAGGTTCCAAGTTCCAAGTTGTTCCGGCTGCATGTCTGATGAGCGAAGGTTCTGTTCACCATTTGAGGCGAGAGACTTGTCAGCGTTTTCACGAAGAGTCATTTCGTGGACGTCTGACTTTGGGACCGAGTCTCTCATGACAGAGGCACATCTTATTTTTCCTTATTTGTCTTTCTGTTCCTTATTCCCTTCCTAACCCTTATCTCATCCCCTATCCTTTATTGGGTTCGGGTTCGTCTCCTGCTCCTCCTCTTAGTAGTCAGGAAATCAATGCGGAACATATGTTCCAATATTTGGGGTGTGTGGGAAATGAGTTGGGTCATTTGTCGTTCGTTCATTCGCTGTCCTGCGAGGTCCCGCCGATCCCGATGGGCGACTTATTGAAAGAGCAGGTCGAGGAGATGGGGCCACATTTTCGGTATGTTGGCAACCTTCAAAAGGACAACGAATTCTCCTTTGACTTGAGTGGAGCCCTCATGGTTACAGGCCATGCGGCGTCACCGTACTAAGTGGTTTGTGAGCAGGATGTGATCATGGCAGTAGGTTCAAGGCTTTCAGGTCATCATGTCAGCAGGTTTCAGCCTCGTCTGGTCTGGTCTGGACCTTTCGGGGAGGGTTTTCATAGATATGTTTGATAAAATATGAATATATAATGTACAAATGAACCACTGGGAGGGAGCGACACGCTCTTTCTGCGGAAGTTTCCAAGCATACCCCCAGTGGTCATATTATCTAGATATATGATGTATGGTGTGATGATTGGATTGCTTTCATTTTTAATTTAGAATTATTCAAGTGAAACGTGTTCATGCTGCCTTTTGCTTCTGCCAATGATGATGCCGCTGACTATTTTTTTGCTATAGATGATGATGAACCCTTCCCACATATATTATAACATATAAAAATTACTCTCTCTTTCTTTTGAAAATTCTTACCCCCTCCACATTTGCTGAGCATAAAATCTATGAGACGATCTCCCCCCTCTCCCTGTTCCCCCTGTTCCCGATGCGACCCCTCCCCTCCCCCCCTCCCGCCTTGTCCCCCCCGTTCCCCGCTGCCCCCCTTGTTCCCTATGCTACCCCCCCTCCCCCCGTCCCCTCCCCCCTTGTTCCCCCTTCCCTATGCAACCCCCACCTTCCCCCCTGTTCCCCCCCCTCCCCCCCTTGTTCCCTATCCGACCCCCCCCCCTCCCTGTTCCCTATGCGACCCCACCCTCCCCCCTGTTTCCCCCCTCCCCCGCTTGTTCCCTATGCGACCCCCCCTCCCCCCATGTTCCCCCCTCCCCCCTTGTTCAGGTAAGTGCGCAAGTGAGTGAAATTTTGTGGTGAAGTGCGCAAGTGAGGGTAAGTGCGCAAGTGTGTGAAATCCTAAGTGCGTAAGTGAGGGCTTTGCCGGTTTCAGGCAAGAGTTTCTATAGCCATGTGGCTTTTCAGTTGTGTCCTATGTGTGTCAGGCATGTCCCACATCTTCGATAATATTACGAAAGACATCTTGCACCACCTTCCTGGATTCGGTGACTTCCAGCAATCCTTGCGAACCTTGACCGACCTCCTTTCAGTTGAGCACTACAGATCACGGTGCCTTCATCAAGAATGATTTATGGTTGATTTCCTGACAAAAGGCCACCATAACATTTCAAAATCAACGTTCCAGTTCGCAAATAATGAACAATTGTCAGAACTATAATTAACATTGACATTGACAGTTGACAATGACTGTGACAATGAACACTATATATAAGACATAACATCGGTCATGACAGCCATTGACTTTTGACAGTCATGACAACATGTCATCATCAACATCATCACATCATATCAAATTATAACATATCATATCACAAACTTAAGAATGCATCCCAGATCGTAAGGTATTAGTTTGTAGGGGTTTGCCCTTCATGACTTTCAGAAATGCCTACCTGATCTCAGAAATGCCTAGGTGATTTGAAAATGACATAGGCATTTCTGAAATTTAGGTAGGCTAATCTGAAATTTGGTAGACTAATTTGTTGTCCAGAACGTTGTGCAAACAAATGTGGTTTCATATTTTTTTACAAAATATTTAAAAAAAGACAAAATATGTTCAAAAAGATAAAATCTAAAATATGGTAAAACGTTGATTGAACGTTTACCTGCTCACGATGCTAACACGTTGTGATTACGTTGGCCAGCTCAGTGTGCAGCTGAGTCATTTGTGTCAATTGTATGAACTGATGAGAGAAACTGGGCATGGATTTGACCTGTTTAGCATGGAAATTATGATTGCATGAACCACGTATGGTCCATCCATTTTCCATTTTTATCACCAAAATGGAATCACACCTTAACTTCGAGGCCTTAACTTCGAGCCTCAGGGTTGTCAATTTTGTCCTTGTTTGTTATTTGTTTGTCATGTGCTGTCATTGTTGTCATTTTTGTGATCTTTTGTTGTCTTAAAACAATGAGTATCGATGTTGCTCCCAGAACATGAATGTCCCTTGTCAAAACACATAGATCTTGTTTAATATAATATTACTTATTAGGTTTGCATTTTCAAGCTTGCCTAAAAGTCAGGTATGCAAAATGTAGCGGTTATTTCCAGTACGAGTGTCGTGTAAAAGTGTCCCAGAAGAGTGTCACAAAATCATAGCAGGAGCGCCGCTCATTTATGGACACAGCCTGCCACTAATTTACGGACATAGCCTGCCACTAATCTATGGACATTACCTTCCAGTAATTTTTGGACATAACCTGCCACTACTTTATGGACACAACCTGCCAAGATTTTATCGACATAACCTGCCACTAATTGATTGGCATAGCAACTAATCTATGGGCATAACCTACCACTAATCTACAGACATAACGCCGAACCCGGATGGATCAGTCAACTCGGGCAGCAGCGTCTTGCGAGAGTGTCCACACCACAAGGTTGTCCCACAGGCTGCCACTAATTTCTGGACATACCCTGCCACTAATTGTACGGAGATAACCTGCCATTAATTTATGGACGTAACTTGCCACTAATTTGTGGGCATAACCTGCCACTAATTTATGGGCATAACTTGCCACTAATTTATTAATAGCTTCCCTTACCCCATTGTGTCACCCCCTTGTCTGTCAGAAGGGACGTCTTCATCCACTCCGCCGGGAGCCTTTAGGAGGGTTACAAGATTTGTTTTTATATATTTTTTATTTAGGATCCTTTTTCTGCAGGGTAGGATTTTTGTTCTTGGCATCCAGGTTCGTGGCTTCACTTGGTTAGCTAATACGGTTGTCTGCATCCTCACTTCATCTGGCCGTTGCCACTGTAATGCGTGTAGCGACAGAAGGGGGAGCTAGGATGATGAGGGGAGCGAAAGAACCAATAAGCAGACTAGTAATTTTCCGTTTGGTTTGGGACTTTGGGGGGCGCCTTTTTGACCTATTTTTGGAGCCCCTTTTTGGGGCTAAAAAGTCGCCCCTTTTTAATCCCCAAAGCAGTACCAAACCAACGGGAAAATCACCAAAGCAGACCCTCACACCCTAGAAACATCCTTTACGAAAAGGTTGAAAAAACTGTTTTCGTTTTATGGCTCAAGCGACGACGGCGACAGTGGAAGGAACAGCACTTGGAGTGCAAAGAGTGGCAAATCTTAGGCGACGCCATTTTTTTATCCCTAAACTCTATAAATGGCACTTAGGGACACTAAATTTAGCATACCTCACTTCTAGGCAAGCCTAAACATGCATACCTAAACTCCATTAATTCCATTTAGGCACACTAAATTTAGCATACCTCACTTTTAGGCAGGCACTCTTGCCACGATACTCTTGTGGACACTCTCGCGAGACACTGCTGCTCCAGTTGACTGATACATCCATGGTCGGCGTTAAGGCCACAAATTAGTGGTAGGTTATGCCCATAAATTAGTGGCAGGTTACGTCCATAAATTCTTGGCCGGTTATGTCCATAAATTAATGGCAGGTCGCGTCCATAAACTATTGGCAGGTAATTTCCATAGAATAGTGGCAGGTTATGTCCATAAATTAGTGGCAGGCTATGGGACCCTCTTGCGGGACAGCAAGAAACTCTTGCCACGACACTCTTGTGGACACTCTTGCAAGACACGGCTGCCCCGCTTGACAGATCCACCCGGGTTCGGCGTGATGCCCATAGATTGGTTGCAGGTTATGTTCATAAATTGGCAGGCTACGTCGGTAAATTACTGGCAGGTAATGTCCATATTCGTGGCAGGTTATGTGCATAAATTAGTGGCAGGTTGTGTCCATAAATTTAGGGCAGATTATGTCCATTAAATAGCAACACTCCTGCTATGATGCTATGACACAGTTTTGGGACACTCTTACAAGACGCTACTACTGGAGATGAGCCCTAAATTGAGCATACCTGACATGCAGGCAGGCACTCTTGCCACGGCACTCTTGTATAAACTCTTTTCCAAATGTTTTCCATGTTGCAACTTTCAAGCTTAAGGTTCAAGAAAATTCCGCGCGCAGCGCGGAATTTTTTTTTCTGTAAGTATTCACGCTACGGTACTATAAGCAAAAACAGTGTTTCATGAAACTTTTCTGTAAGCATTCATGCTGCGGTACTATAAGCAAAAACAGTGTTTCAAACTTTTCTGTAAGTATTCATGCTGCGGTACTATAAGCAAAAGCACCATTTCATCAATTTTTTTTGGTAAATATTCACATCTGTTTGCTTTCGGTTTCAAAAAGTTTGCAACAGCGTTACATTTTTTCATGCCTTTGGCACTGTCAGCAACTACCAGTTTGCTTCAAAATGTCTCAATCTGTCCCAATATGTCTCAAAATGTCTCAAAATGTCTCAAAATGTCTCAAAATCAACTCAATTTTTCTCAAAACTCAGTTTGAGACATTTTGAGACATTTTGAGCAATTTTGAGCAATTTTGAGCAATTTTGAGCGGATTTTTGGGGCAGGTATGAGACATTTTGAGACATTTTGAGTTGATTTTGAGCAATTTTGAGCAATTTTGAGCGGATTTTTGGGGCAGGTATGAGACATTTTGAGACATTTTGAGTTGATTTTGAGCAATTTTGAACAATTTTGAGCAATTTTGAGCAATTTTGAGCAATTTTGAGCAATTTTGAGCGATTTTGAGCGATTTTGAGCGGAATTTGTTCGGCCAGCAATTTGTATATTTGAATAGTCCTTTCAATCTACATGTCATTCCTGCACAATTGGAATTCACAAATTATGGAGATTGAAGCTAGGTCGTAACGTTTTTGCCCATTTTATTTTAATATTTGTTTTAGTCTAGACGCAATCCTTAGGCCAATTTTGAGCAAACTTTTCTGGCCAGGCCCATTGCGTTTGAATACTTGTTTTGGTCTATAGCAAGCCATTTTCGAGCAATTGAAAAGATTTTGAGCAATTCTACCCACATACCATCCATATTTTATCCATCTATTATTCTTAATTTAGCGTCCATATAACACATTCAATATCGATTTGCGATCAACGTGTTATCCATAAGTTATCCATGTTTTATCCATGTATAGTATC